ACCTCATACAGAAACAAGCTGAAGACCTTGTGCTTTAAATTAATTTTTACATATATTTTGTTACCAATGTCAGGGAGTGAATGGGGGTATGCATACATGTCAGATGTCCAGTTGTATTTCATGTTGTATTGTATTTTCTTTTATTTTTGTTATCAATTTGTGCTTTCCTGATCTGAAGTGATTAAAATGTCATTGAGTGGATTTGGGTTGGGTGGGAAGGGGGTTTGGTTGTGGTATTTGATTGAACCTTGTGAACGCTGAAAAGCAGCAAATAAAGTGTTCTGTTCATTCATTCATTCACAAGATCTCATTCAAACTGCAACATACCCATAGAAGATAACTTCTCTTGCATAAACTTTATAGTCAAAGTCTTTATTATGTTATCTTTTTCATGATTATGAATTCCATGTAGAAAGCTTTCTAAAAATGATACCCCTAAAGAATTCCAACCTTTTGCTTTTGCTGAATAATATTTAGAAGAGGTGATGAATTCCTCTTCCACTGCTGCAGAAAGGGCATCAAATTCAGCCTGACTGTACTTGTGCTGAGTGACAATGCTGGTGACCAGGTACTGAATAAAGGCACTCCATCTCGGTAACACATAATCAGAGATCACACCAGACCATTGCTTGAAAGCGTAGTCGAGAATTTCTGCATTTGGTCCCCACCAGGTTATTTGATTCATGGCATTGAATCTCAGGTTCTCTTCATCCTGCAATTGAGAAATACAAATCAATACTAAGACAAACTACTGTCATACATCTCATAATAATGTGCCATATTTACTTTAGTACCACATGTCCTGCATATGATGAACACAATTTTTTGTTGAGCTGCTCAAATTAATTGAAAACCTAATCTCCAGAGCACACCCTAAGTTTTCAGTGAAAATGATAACATTTCAAAAATTAAAACTGAAAATTTATCAATTGATGATCAAATAAAAGGAGAATCCAATTAAATTCCACTTTCTTTTTCCTATACTGTATTTCATTTATGATATGACCTAAGGACAATGAGCACAAGAAATTGGAAAATTTGCAGAAAACGCTTACACTCAAATATGCTGGGCACCTTTTGGGTTCTGAAGTAGATACAGTATTTATCTTAAGATCAAATTCACTTTTTTCCTGAACATAAAATAAGGAGTTGAGACTATAAACTCTTATTTTTCATAAAACCTATGAAAAACACAGTATTTCTTTCTTTTTTTATCAAGCTTAAAATACCCTTTGTGTCTTCAGACAAATTTATATAGCAGTTAATCCATGAACAAAAATTTTACAGCAAACTCAATGCATTCAAACAATGCTCTTTACAAAATATACTTTAAAAATCCAAGCTCACTTTTGGATCAAAGGCACTTCTTTGAGCCCCCTGCAACCACTGACCAAGCAGGAAACTTTTGTGAGTGCCAAGTAAATTATCCAAATCCACAAGTGTGTCCATCAAAAGTCCTCCTAACCCTCTATAAAAAAAAAACACACATAAATCAATTTTGTCATCAGAATGACAGGAAAAAAGTAAAAACTTACAAGACCTTGTTGACATCCTTCTTCTTGAATCTTTCAAGGAGCCTGACATACAACTCATCAAACTGAACCTCTAGACACTGTCTGCCAATGTCAACAATATCCTCCTTGAGCCCAGGTGTTAAAGTGTTTCCTTGCAGCTCCAACTCTAACCCCAGCAACACTAGGTTCTCCCAGGCACTCCAAATCTGGCTCTTGTTGTACCATACAAATGGTTCCAGGTTCAAATGGGGCCTCTTTGCAATCACTGGATGACCATGTGGTGGGAGGCTCAAATGTGCAGTGTACACAGACTCCTGATGAAAATGAAAACTTGAATAAAAAGCGTCACCAAAAAATAAAGTGTAGGCTCAGAAACATGATGGACTGCTTCCAAAATTACAATTCCAAAGAAAGATGGAAAAATTATTCCATCATCAAATGATAGTTCAATTAATTGATTCCCAATTTTTTGGCCTCATGTGGACTAAAAATTTCTCAAAATAAATTACTAAATTAATTGCCAAACAGTTGAAAAAAACTGCCAATAAGATGATCAAAAACAATCCTATCATAACATTTCAGGTTTGCAAAAATGTATTCTCCAAGTTCCTCCCCAATAGCCACAACGCTATCAGATTTACTTTAAAATGAAGCCTCGTTATAAGAAAAACGTTTCTCATGGTCAAAATGGCTCCGTTATACAGTAGAATCTCAATAAAACAAATCTTGCCACAATAAATTTGATTTTCAGCTCGGGTTCATTTCTCAAGAGCCAGAGAGATATTTTAATTTATTCAAACCAATTAAAAATAAGCCATTTTAATGATACCAACAATTTTTTTTTCAACAATCGTTTACTGTTAACATTACAGTGAAAAATTCTTACAAAAAGGCGATTTCGAAAAGGAGACAGTATCTTTTTTTATAAATTCCTCACGCAGCCCAAGAAGATAAAAAAAGGATTCTCCTCATTCACTTTGAAGACATTCCACAAGATTTTGTTGACAATTTATCAATTTCAAATGATCAAACTAGGTCAGAAAAATATGAACAATTTGAAAAGAACTCCACTTAAATTTAGTACTTTACATTCAGCATTTGTAGTTGTTTATCTTTTCCACTAGTTTTCGATGCTCGGAAAGAGGCCAATACATCAATAGTCTGAGCCAAACTAAATTCACAACACGCATATAATTTTTAAATCAAAAAATTTACAATGAGACTCGTCCATGTAGAATTGCTGCGGCCAGTGACAGAGTGCCAGTCATGAATGTCAGATCCCATGGATAATCCATAGCGCCTCATCCCATATTCATGGGTCCATGCTTCCACATCCACATCATGGTTCTGGTCCTTGCTGAGGTACAAAGGCA